GCTTTACCCTTGTGTACAAAAGCACGTATTGGTCACCCCTTACAAGAATTGCCCAGGAATTTCAACATATCAGTGAAATCTATATGAAATTAATTTGAAAAAAATACTCAACCAACAATCGGAGAAAAGGATATACCTTGGTTTGATTTCTAAAGGAAAATGAAAACAATGGAGTTTGGTTTAAGCAGTCGATGAAATTTTTGATGTGAGTGCATGATTGTGTGATTTATAAGGCTTTTTATATGCTATTTTTGTGTTTGTCTCTCTCATTTTACCAAAATATTTTTTTCTTTGTATTCCACCTTTTGAACTTTTCTTAGTAAAGAAATGTGAATTTTAATTATTATTTAATTTTGAAGTAAAAAGAGTGAAATTCAATAATAAAACACAGTTTAATGAGAATTTAAAAGGTAAAGAAATTACAAATTTTTGTGACAATTAAATTTGAAAAGGTTAAAAGCAGATAGTCTAAAAATTATGAGAAGACAATTTATATAAACTAGACAATTAGACAAATAAACTATAAAATGTCATTTTTGTTTAATTTAAAGATATGTTATCCTTTAATAATGGTTTACCATAAATTTTGTGTTTTTTTTCTAACTAATCACATACAAATTTTACTTTGTCTTAATTAGATATTATGGCGCCGACACTAGTCAATTTTATCAAGTAGTAAATTACTAAAGACACATCTTTCAACTTAATTTAAATTTAGATATTACAACGACGACACTACGCATAATTAGAATAAAAATTGCTAAAAACTCATAGATTTTGCTTAATTTCAATTTAGATAGTACGGCGCCGCCACTAGTCAAAAGTTAATAAATGACTTGGGACATTATAAAAAGGTCACATTTGTAGTATTTTAAAGATTATCCATTAATAATGTTTTAACATAATTTTTTTTTAACTAATCATACACATATTGTACTTTCCATAATTAAGATATTACGCCGCCACCACTAGTCAGTTTTTATCAAAGAATAAATTACTAAAGACACATTTTAATTTAAGTTTGGACATTACGGCGCCGACACTAGTCAAAATTAAAATAAAAATTGCTAAAAATCTCATAAATTTTGCTTAATTTAAATTTAGATATTACGGCGCCGCCACTAGCCAATATAAAGTTAATAAGTTACTTAGGACACTATAATAATGTTATTTTTATATTAATTTAAAGATATATTATTTATTAATAATATCTTATCATAATTTTTTTTTCTTAGTGATAACACACATATTTTACTCTGCCTTAATTTACATATTATGGCACAGACACTGGTAAATTTTATCAAGTAATAATTTACTAAAGACACATTTTCAACTGAATTTAAATTTAAATATTACAGCACCGATATTAGTAGAAAGTAAAAACTATAGTAAATTTTGGTACTTAAGATTTAAATTTATATTAAAAAAACACATATATTTTAATTAATTTCAATGTAGCACTTAGTACCTAAGCCTAGAACTAAAAATTTCGAGGCCTTGGTTTTCTTTAGATTCAAGCCACTTTATAATGGGCTTGAGAAAGGCCCAATACAAAAATTACGTCTCCTCTCTTCCGATCTCAATAGATCGCTGGACTTGAGAGCTTCGGGACTTAGCGTTCCTTGACGAAGAAGACGATACTTCTTCTTCCATCACAGCTTCACGCAAATCCTTCTACAGTTACATCTTCTTAAGATTCCGAGTTTCAACTGATTTCGTGGAAGGATTTAATTTTATACTGGATTTAAGCATCAGTTAATTTTCCGGCTAAAAATGATGTCGCCGAAACAAATCTCCGACGATCGAGGATCTTCACATTTCAGGTATATTCATACCCAAAGTTTCGATTAAAACTTCTCTGCTATTGTGTGTGGTTTCTTCTTTTGCTAATTTTGATTGCATAGAAGAAAAAAAAAAAAACGATGTTTCTTCTTCTTGCTCCGATGGAGTTTCATTGAAATTACAACGAAATGTGTACTGTTGCTTCGTTTAATCGTCTATATGAATTGGAAATCGCATTTCTGAAGATAATGCAGTAACATAATTAGGATTGAATCACTGATTTGAGTACTCATATTCCTCTAGCTTAAGCTTTGAGTTCATTGTGTTTTGATTCAATACTACGATGAAGCAGTTATTGTTTCGGGTTTTATTATCCGTCGTTGTTGGAAATCGCATTCCTCGGTTTTCTTTATAATGCATAAACATAGTTAAGTTGAATCACTGATTTGAGACCTCATATTAAGCATTTAGTTTACTATGTTATGATTCAATACTAGGTTGAAGCAGTGATTTTAGTCATTAACTTTGAGCACATTTGTAGTGTTTTTTCGTTTGTCGTTGTTTAGCCATTGGCTTAGAATTGAGTAATCTGCCACCTAAGTTTTGTGTTTTGACCCTCTTTATTTTGCAGGAATACTCCTTTCCAGATAATCCACCTTATTGGGAACTTTTTTAGGATATGGTCAGTTTATTCTATGTACCGATACTTGAATCAGACGGGAGCGCCTGTTGTTTTCTTTCTCTTCTGCTGTTTGGTGCCTTCATCTATCATCTTCTTGATACTTCAAAAACCATGGAAAGGAAGGGCACTTTCTAACCAACAGGTTTACTTTAGTCATATCCAATTTCTGGCATGTATATTTGATACATAGAAATTGGAGAGTTTGGACATAAATTGGTTCTTTACTATTTCAGATTGTACCTTCTCTTATCAATGGAGTCATCACAGCTCTATACTTCATCTTATGGGGAAAAGGTCTCAAGTCTTGTGGACCTCTTAGGTATTCATTAAGCATTCATACTACCGCGAAGTATTCTCTGTTCTTATCTGTCGTTCTTTCTTAGGATATATACTAGATTTTGGCTTCTGAAAAGGGAAATTGAAAGTTTACCTCTGAGCATGATGGTCCCACTTTAGCAGTTTGGTTCAGTACTTACGGAAATTCTGGACTTACAATTCGCTCTTTATCCTTTAGTTCTGTAATCTGCCATTTTTAAGCTCGTGTGACCAGAAAAATTTTCTGCATTGAAACTTTGATTCTCCTTGCTTGTAATAAATCTTTGTATATTATTGGCAGAGCTATCTTATCAGAGTACTCTGGTGCTGTTCTTGGAGTACTTTCTGGAGTATTGTATGGACGGAGAGGTCATGTGTGGAAAAAGGTATCCATCTCACATGTCTATAATTTAATAGTTCTACTCAATGTAACCAGTTTACTAGCACGGTTTACATAGGGTTTAGCATAGTGTTAGGTTGTTTACGGCATGCATCAGCTCCCTTGTGTCGGAGACAAACTATAGAACTGTTCAATAGTTTTGAGCATTAGAGACGTTTCTTCTGGCTAATCCATGTACTGATGTACTTATATTGCTTGCATTACAGTTATTGATATGAAGTTCAGTTTGAAAGATCAAGTTTATGTTTACAATTCTCTCATATTTGCAAATAATGTCAGGTAGGTGGCCTCATTGCAATGTTGGTAGCTCTTTTTTTCTTGTCTCAAGGATGGGCGACATCATCTCTCTCCCCTTTTTATATCCTTTTACGCAAGTTCCTTCTCTCTATCTCTATCTATATGTATATTATGCTTCGTTTTATGTGTTGGTTGGTTTAACTTAACAACAAGCTACCAACAAAAGATAGTACTGAAACCAAAGAGGAAGAAGTACAAACAGAACAGGCACTAGGTATGATGGGAATGATGATACCAGTTTTTGCTGGAATCTTATCAGCGTTAAGGCGGGTTATCGCGCGCCGTGTTTCTCTAAAGGTATTGCTCTCAGATTCCTTCTATTTCCTCCAGTCATTTCTTCTCACATGTCTGCTTCCTTTGTGAACAACCAATTTTCTTCTTTTACAGAACCAGCAGAAGAAACGACTACATGCGATAACCATTACTTCTGCAACCTGTTTCTTGTTTCCTGTGGCTATGTGGGACCTTATCATAGTAAGTAATGCTACTGTTTTGCAACGACTAATAATAATGTATTAAAGGTGGCGTCTTCTCGATTGTCTAATACCAGTTTGGTTCGCTAATATCAAAATTATTACTTCAGGGGTCATCTTCTGGGAAAACATCCGAGTTGCCATTTTCTGCGTGGGCTTTCCTTAGCACCATTGTTTTCGGAATCATCCTAATATTCTATGTTGACAATATCGCAGAAGAGAGGTTTCCCGAAAGCTTTTCCCTTTAATTATCTTTACATTTCATTTACACACACAAACATATGCTTTATACGAATATGTTTTGTTTATCGCAGATTGCATATGGTGTTTTCTTCGCCAAGGCATTTAATGGTAGCAGGTGCATGCATAATAGTCATGGAGTTAGCTTACGAGATGGATTTTTCTCTTCCCGGTTTCATCGTCTGTTGCTTAGTATTAGGGTTTGGAATATTCGAGGCAACATCTCTCGAACGTAGCAAGAAAGACTCTTCGTTGAAATCAGAAGATCCATCAAACGGAATCCTTGGTAATAATGACTTTGATACTTCTCCAATTCTTCCCATATAGCTCACTAATCTCTCCCCCACACTAACAACGATGTACTGTTGAATGTACTTGTCCTTGACGATGTAAATCTGTCCGGTTTTACTCGTTCTTCAATCTTTTTACCTTCATTTTTCGGCTTTTATTTTCTTGATGAAGCTTATACAAATTTTTTTTTTTGGTCTAACGTAGACAAATTTAACCCATGATGATTATTATTTCAATATAGTTTTTTACGGTTATAGTTATATGAAGATCTGTAGAATGATCAAATTGAATTGGTTCACTTAAAATGCAGATGCTAATGAAAGTTTATTGTGAAACCGCGACATGTGTTGCCTATCGGTCAAAACCAAACTGATTAAGATCAAGAGAATATAAACCAAAACCAAACCAATCATTAAACCAAATCAAATTTCTGGTTTGAGTGTGCCACGTGTCGTAGAGAGTCAAGCATAAAACGCTCCGTTTCCTTCTCTTTTGGTCTCTGTAAAATTTCGATGTTTTGTTTCGCCGAGAAAAATAAAAAAAAATCAATTTTGATGTTTCAGCTTCTTCTCCGATGCATTTGCTTGTCTTATCGAATTGAAAAATCGAGACTTTTGACTTCCATTGAAGCCCTTCAAATTTTACCTGCGTCAAGAGCTGAAAGTGTTGGCCTTGGGTTTTGCTTCTGTCTACAAAGGTAAGCGACGAAGCTAACTCATATCTTCTGCTTCTACTGACTACTCACTACTGTACTCTCTTTTGGATTTTTTTTTCGTTTAGAGTTTCAGATTTGCGTTATTAGCTGGGTTTGGTAATGGTTGATATTCGAATTTGTCGTAGGAGCATTGTGTAGTTAAAGAAGATGGATCTCTTAAGCAGTCTACCAGACGAGCTTCTTTGCCATATATTGTCTTTCCTTACCACAAAGGAGGCTGCTTTAACATCAGTTCTCTCAAAGAGGTGGCGGAATCTGTTTGCCTTTGTCCCTAATCTTGACATTGATGACTCTTATCTTTCTATATCCGGAAGAGGGTAAGCGAGAAAGAGACGGAATTATACAGAGCTTCATTGATTTTGTGGATAGAGTATTGGTGTTGCAGGGGAATTTTCCCATTGAGAAAGTTTCCATCAAGTGTGGAACTGGTGTTGATCAAGGTCTTGTGAATGGTTGGATATGTAATGCGCTGCAGCGTGGTGCCTCGGAGCTTGATCTTATTGTTCTTGTTACTGGTTTTGGAGATAATTATTTGCTGTCTCCACAAGTTTTCATTAGCTCGACACTAGTTGAGCTGAAATTGGGGAGTGGAATTAAAGTTGATGGGTTGGATGGTGAAGTATTCTTACCGGTGCTTAAACTTCTCGTTCTTGACTCAGTTGAGTTTTGTTTTGATCAGTTTCTGATGCTTCTTCGTTGTTGTCCTGTGGTTAAGAAATTAGAAATGGTTAATGTTGAGTGCGAAGATTGGGATCAGACTGTGTCTAGTGCAAGTCTCAAGTCTCTAAAAATTAAGTCTGAGAGTTTTAGTTTTGAAAGGTTTTCATTTGATACACCAAATCTTGTTTTCCTAGATTACTCTGAATTAGTCGCGGAGGACTATCCAACAGTGAATTTGGAAAACGTAGTTAATGCTAGAATCAACCTTTTAGCAAATGAATATCAGATCAAGCGAGCAAGAGAACCAGATCATGAAATGTTAGAGGAAGATTGGGAAGATGTTTTTATCCGATTTAGTAATGCGAAGAAGCTCATGAGTGGCATACGAAATGTGAAGAAACTTTTCATGTCTCCTACTACTCTTGAGGTCAGTATACTATTTTGATTTCATAGACAAATAAACAAATCTTGATTCTTGGCGACTGAGTAATGTTTTCTCGTTTCAGTTGCTTTCTCTATGCTGTGTGGCGATGCCAGTGTTCAACAACCTAACATTCTTAGCTATTTTGAGTCATGTGGATCTCGGATGGCAAGCAATGTCAGTTATCTTAAAGAACTGACCACACTTGGAAACTCTAGCACTTTGGGTAAGAAGATAAACAATGAAAGTATACTTGAACAACACATTGTCTCAAACATTTACATTTGTCTGGTTTTTGCTTTCAGGGTCTCTTACACTGTGTGACAGATAAATGCGGGGATGCGTGTGACTGCATTTCCCGGGATGACAAAGGTCATTCCCTCATATCTTGTCCGGTGAAGATATTACATATTAAGGCGTTTATAGGAACAACTCGAGAGTTAAAGATGATAAAGCATTTCCTAAACTTGTTTCCGTGTTTGAAGGAGATGGAGATACATGCCGAAGAGAATGATCAGACAACCTTTGAAATCCCTGGAATGTTTGAGCGTATCGTGGAGCTAATGAAACTCTACAATGAGTTATCGAGTTGTTATGTCCGATTCATGGTGTGTGATTCCTTGTACAGGAAGTGGACTGCACAGTGAAGTCTTTAAGGAGTCTTTGGTAAAGAGAATGATTTTATAGACCTCAAAGTCTCTGGTATGTTTAAACTTGTCGCAACAAGTTTCTTAGTTTTCATGTTTAAGAAGTGGACTAGTGCACACTGATGTGTCTCATAGTTTTGGTTCAGAAGCTATTAGTTTAGCTCTTCTTTGCTCTCGGTCTCTGAGTTCTCTTCTCTTTAAGCAATACTTCAAAATTTGGGCCTAAATCTGTTTAAGCAATGTAGCCCAAAGATCAAGCCGTTCCGGTTTATCGAAACTAAACCGGTGATTTTATAGAACCGGATGAAACAAAACCCTATATTTTGTTTGTTTGCTGTCGGCTTCTCCGATGCCTTTACATGTCTTGTCGAACCAAACCAAGGGGTTAAGCAAATCCCAACTCTCTGTTTCACTGAAACTAAAAGATTAGGTCTTGGATGAAGCTTTTGTAACAAGGTAGGTTTCGAGGTTTCGAGGTTTTACTCGGGGGGTTCCTTAGTCCATAAGATTCCAATTTTACCAGTTAACGTTTTACATAAATTGAAAGATCAAACGTGTCTCTGTTTGGTAATATACTCTCTTCGTTTCGTGCAGAGAAAATGGATCTCTTAAGCAATCTACCAGACGAGCTTCTTTGCCATATTTTGTCCTTCCTTACCACAAAGGAGGCTGCTGTAACATCGGTTCTCTCCAAGAGGTGGCGCAATTTGATTGCGTTCGTCCCTAATCTTGATATTTATGACTGTGAGTTTCTGCATCCGGAGGTACGTAAAGAGGAAAGGGACGATATTCGACAGCTCTTCGTGGATTTTGTCGATAGAGTATTACAGGGAAATTCTCACATAAAGAAATTCTCCCTCTTTTGTGCTGGCGGTTTTTATTTAGATCGAGTGGATTGTTGGATACAGAATGTGTTGGTGCGTGGTGTTTCGGAGATTAATCTAACAATCCTTTTGGATCCCCATTAGGAGGAGATAACTATCATCTGTGTCCAAAAGTTTTCGAGAACAAGAAACTAGTTAAGCTGGAATTAACTCATGGATTTGATATTCGTTGCTTCGATAGGAGCATTTTCTTACCGATGCTTAAAACTCTCGTTCTTGATTCAGTTTTGTTATCTGTTGATAAGTTTGAGATTCTTCTTCATGCTTTGCCTGCGCTTGAGGAATTAGTCCTGCATAGTATACACTGGAAAGAATTGGATGTGATGACTGTGTCTATATCTCTATCAAGTGCAAGCCTCAAGACCCTAACAATAAAGTTCATCGAATGTTTCGATACTTTTTCATTGGATACACCTAGTCTTGTTTACTTCTCTTACTCTGATTTTGTCGTGGGAGATTATTCTGTAGCTAAAATGGAAAACTTGTTTGAGGCTAGAATCAGCCTTTGTGTAATTGATGAAGATATCAGCCTAGCAAGAGTGCCATACAATGATTTGTTAGAGGATGATGAGTACAATGTTGTTCTCCGATTTGCAAATGTGGGGAAGCTTATGAATGGCATTCGAAATGTTCGGTATCTAGTTCTGTCTCCTGATACTCTTGAGGTCAGTTTTCTTCTTTATTTCTCTATTTAGCTGATATTGATGAAATAAAAGAAAGAAAACTAGCACTTCTTCTCAATTTATGGAGCATGGCAGTCATGTTTGTTCGGTCCCATTTTTAACAAAGAAGCAAAGGTCTAATTGTGGTTTGTCTTGTTATCAGGTGCTTTCTCTATGCTGTCAATCGATGCCAGTGTTCAAAAACCTCAAATTGTTAGCGATAAAGAGTGAAGAGAGCCGAGGATGGCAAGCAATGCCAGTTCTTCTAAGGAATTCTCCGCATCTAGAAACTCTAGTTCTTGAGGTATATATAGAAACAACTCATTAATCTTGCAAACATGTTCAGAGACAGAGTTCATACGTACATTGAATCTCTATTGTTTCCTTTATGTTTTCAGGGTCTCTTTCACTATGTCACAGATAAATGCGGGGATGCTTGTGACTGCGTTTCTCGAGAGGGCAAAGGTCGTTCACTCACATCTTGCCCAATAAAAGTGTTAGAGATTAAAGGGTTTCAAGGAACAATGAAAGAGATGAACATAATAAAGCATTTCTTAGACTATTTTCCATGTTTGAAAGAGATAAAGATCTATATGGAAGAGAATGATACTACACAGCTCAGAGTCCCTGAAGTGTCTGAATTTATCACGGGGGAGATGATGGAACACTACAAAAAATCATCCAGTTGCAATGTCCAGCTCCTAGTGGGTAGTTACTTGTATAAGAAGTGGACTGCACAATGAAGTCTCTAAAGAACAAAAGCTGCTCATAGTTATGCCAAAGTCTACTTGAAACTGTTTCAAACTAAACCAATCGGGATACTGTAGTCTCTAAAGAACAAAAGCTGCTCATATTTATGGCAAAAAATTCATTAATTTGCCAAACATGTACAAATATAGAGTTGAATTTATCTCATTGTCACTTTTATGCTTTTAGGGTCTATTGCACCATGTCACAGATAAATGCGGGGAAGCTTGTGACTCGTGTTATTCGAGAAGACAAAGGTCATTCACTCACATCTTGTCTAGTAAAAGTGTTAGAGATTAAACGGTTTCAAAGAACAATTAAAGAGATGGACTTGATCAAGCATTTCTTGAACTATTTTCCGTTTTTGAAGGAGACAAATACTTATATTGAAGAGAATGGTTCTACACAATTAAGAGTCCCCCAAGTGTCTGAAGTTATCGCGGAGATGATGGAACACTACAACAAGTCATCGAGTTGCACTGTCCAGCTTCTATTGAGTGGTTGCTTGTATAAGAAGTGGACTGCAAAATGAAGTGTCTCAAGAACAAAAGTTTTGCCAAAGTCCCTTTGGAATTTGATTTTGGTTTGATTTTTGTTTAATTTTGGTTTGCCAAAATCTTAACTCCGAACGACTAAAGTTAATAAGCTATCTTACTTACCGTGTGTGTGTAATGTCCCGCCAGTTCAGATCCCAGAGAGTGACAACGCTGCTCTCATCAAGGAAAATAGTCTTACTCTCATTGGTAGAGTTGTTGGCATTATGAATCCTTGATTAAAACCTGCAACAAAGGAGAAAGCTTCAGTGAGAAGAAGAAGAAGAAGTTCAAGAAGAAGAAGAAGTTCTCCAAAGAGGAAGAAGAAAGTAAGTAAACAGAAGTAAGAAGAACAGAGCATAGGCGAAGAAAAAGTTCCCAAAGGAGGAAGAAGCAAGAAGAATGAGCCCAATACTCAAGCTGTGAGTGTTTATCTCTTGAAGTCTTAAACGTTTTGTGCTTGGCAAACCAAAATAAAGAGATAGAGAGATGTGAGTGCTTGAAACAGAGAACAAGAGAGTTTCTAACTCCTGTGAGTTCACATTCTCAAGTTTGCTTTCTTCTGTGAGTTCTAACTAGGCCTGGGCTTTCGGTTAACCGTTCGGTCATCGGTTAGGTTCATTCGGTTTCGGTTATTTCGGTTTCAAAATTTAGTATCCATTCGGATATTTTGAAATTTCGGTTCGGTTTCGGTTCGGTTCTGTTTTTTCGGTTTAAAATTTAGTATCCATTCGGATATTTCGGGTATTTTTGAGTATTTTCGGATATTTTTAGATATATTTCGGTTATTTTCGAGTATTTTTACTATTTTTTATATATTTTTCAAGTATTTTTGATTATTTGATGTATAAATAACTAATTATTTTGAAAATATAATTGTATTTCGGGTATTTCGGTTATCCGAAATATTTTGGTTCGGTACCGATTCGGTTACGGTTATTTCGATTATAAAATTTAGTATCCATTCAGTTATTTTCAAATTTTCGGTTCGATGTTTTTTGTTTCGTTTCGGTTCGGTACATTCGGTTCGGTTTATTTGGCCGACGCCTAGTTCTAACTTCTAAAGCTGGGCTTTGGATACTTTTTGTAGCCCAATACTCATCTGTCCCGGTTTATACCGAAATTAACCGGCAATTTTAAAAGAACCGGATCAATTTCGTTTCTCTTAAAAAAAATTGGATGTTTCGGCTTCTCCGATGACTTTGCCTGTCTTCACTCTTCGACCACCAGAAAGCTAGAGTCTTTTTCTTCCTATCTTCGCTTGCAGGGCCATTAAACAAGGTAGGTGTCCAACTTTACTCGATTCTCTTTTTGGGTGTTTCATAAGTTTCCTTTTGGCTATTTACGTTGTTAACTTAGGGTTTAAAAATGAAAACTTTCTCTGTTTGTAGTCTCTGATTCCTCACAAAAGCTTTGAAATTTTGTCTCTTAAGAAATGTGCAGAGGAGATGGATCTCTTAAGAAATCTACCAGACGAGCTTCTTTGCCATATTTTGTCATTCCTTACAACAAAGGAGGCTGCTTTGACATCGGTTCTCTCCAAGAGGTGGCGAAATCTGCTTGCTTTTGTCCCTAATCTTGATATTGAGGACAATGTTTTTCTGTATCCGGAAATGGGTAAATGTGATAGGGACGATATTCGACAGCTCTTCATGGAGTTTGTTGATAGAGTATTGGCATTGCAGGGTAATTCTCCCATTATGAAATTCTCCATCAATTGTGTTGGTGTTGATTCAGATAGAGTGGATGCTTGGATACGTAATGTGATGGTGCGTGGTGTTTCCGAGCTTCATCTATCAATCGTTTTAGATATTCTATCAGTGGGTAAGAAGTTTTGGGTGCCTCCAAAATGTTTCGAGAGCAAGAAACTAGTTAAGCTAGAGATAGGTTATGGAATTGATATTGGTTGGTTAGATGGGAGCTTTTTCTTACCGATGCTTAAAACTCTTGTTCTTAGCTTAGTTCGGTTATCTGCTGATACGTTTGAGATTCTTCTTCATGATTTGCCTGCGCTTGAGGAATTAGCCATGGGTTATATAACCTGGAGATTAGATGATGCTGCTGTGTCAGATGCAAGTCTCAAGACACTAACAATAACTTCCAACCATTATGTTTGCTATTCTTATTATTATTTAGGCACTTTTTCGGTTGATACACCGAGTCTCGTTTACTTCTCTTACTCTGACTATGTTGCTAAAGACTACCCCGTAGTTAAGATGGAAAACTTATTTGAGGCTAGGATCAGCCTTTTGGTAACTGAAGATCAAATCGAGCGAGCAAGAGCGCCAAACAATGATTGGTTGGTCGATGATGATGATGGCAATGTTGTTCTCCGATTTGCAAATGTGTGGAAGCTCATGAATGGCATACGAAATGTTCAGTATCTGGACTTGTCTGCTAATACTCTTGAGGTCAGTTTTCTTATTTTGTCTCTTGCAATATCTTTTTCGGCCCCATTTTTAACGAAGAAGTGAATGTCTTGTTTTGAAACATTTAATGGCCAAACGTCGTAATCTAATTGTGGTTTATCTTATTTTCAGGTGCTTTCTCTATGCTGTGACTCGATGCCAGTGTTTAAAAACCTCAAATCTTTATCTATTATGAGTGAAGAGAGTCGAGGATGGCAAGCAATGCCAGTTCTTCTAAGGAACTGTCCGCATTTAGAAACTCTAGTCCTTGAGGTATAAAAACAACTCATATGCCAAACATGTTCAAAGAGAGAGTTCATACATTGAATCTCTATTGCTTCCTTTATGTTTTCAGGGTCTCTTGCACCATGTTACAGATAAATGCGGGGATGCTTGTGACTGCGTTTCTCGGGAGGACAAAGGTCGTTCACTCATATCTTGTCCAGTAAAAGTGTTAGAGATTAAAGGGTTTCAAGGAACAACCAAAGAGATGCACATGATAAAACATTTCTTGGATTATTTTCCGTGTTTGAAAGAGACAAAGATCTATATGGAAGAGAATGATCCTACACAACTCAAAGTCACTGAAGTTTCTGAAGTTATCGCGGAGAAGATGGAACTCAACAACAAGTCATCGAGTTGCAATATCCAGCTCCTATTGAGTGGTGGCTTGTATAAGAAGTGGACTGCAAAATGAAGTCTTTGAAGAACAAAAGTTGCTCATAGTGTTGCCAACGTTTCCTTGGGAATTTGATTTTTGTTTAATTGGCTTGAAAACTGTTTCAAACCAAGTCAATCGGAAAGCCGTAGTTTCTTCCAGTCATTTATTTACTTTGCCCTTAAGTTGTTTGAGTTGTTCTTTGTTGGTGTCTTTACTCCGAACGACAAAAGTTAATAAGCCATCTTTACTTACCGTCTGTGTGTGATTTGAAAATTTGAAATCCTAGTGTTCTCTCCCGGTCACATCAGTTCAGATTCCAGAGAGTGTGACAACTCTGCTCTCATCGAGGAAAAGTAGTCTTACTCTCATTGGTAGAGTCAGTGATCCATTCATCAATCCAGCGGCCAAGGGGGTTGTGGATTTCATGCCATAACACTGATATTTAGACTACACTGTTACCGGAAGGTCTCAGCATTGTTTTACCGGAAGGTGTCTTGGACAAGCATTGTTGGAAATAAAGAACAAGCCCTTAGTTAATCTATTAGACACATATTTTCATGATCCTGAAGTGTGTATATATATAGATACGTACAGGCAGATTTTTCATGTTCGGGAGTGTATGGATGGAAGATGCTAAAGGAACGAGAACAAATTCTTCAAACTCAATCACACTTGCGTTTCCTATCTAATACTATTATTTGAGTAGTACGTTTATTGACATACCCTTAGTTTTGTAAGTATTTACGATGAAATAAAATGTAACCCATTCAAAAAGACGCAGATCTTATAACCCATTTTCATTAAAATCGAATCCTAACTTCTAATCTTGATCATTCATTACAGTTTACTATTTTGGGTTACACAACTGAAAAACTTTTAAAAGATTTTATAAGAAAATTGCTATTTCATTGTAAAAAAATTCCCATAGAAATAGATTACCAACAGTAACTAAAACAAACGTGAAACATAATTAAAACAAAAAAAATTGCAAATCTGTTTCAGCTTTGTACCAGATATTGTCGAATGGATTCCAAATTACAGAAAAGGATTAAAAGACATCAAACGTATAATTCGAAAAAAAACTCTAGCTTCTTCCAAAGATTTCAGCCTCTACACCATCCAATACCTCAGATTCAGCCTTAGGTTCAAAAGCACCACCCAACACCTCAGCCTTGTCAATCTTTGAACAAGGAATAGATGAGTTTAAATTTGTAATATGACTATTGCATAAAAATATTAAATAAGAGACATTTTTTTACAAAAGATACACATAAAATTGAGATTTTTTTTATTGTCTTATTATTTAGATCATAGAATATTTCTTTTGATTACAAGGAAACGAGAAAATAATACATGTTTGGACTTATATATCCAAAATGTGTGTAGTTCAACATTTGTACAAATATATGAAAAATAGGAGTTGTCGCTTAGATTTCGATGTCATAGAGCGGCAAAAATCTTGCACCTTTCTCTTTCGCAGGAGAACGCGTGAATGCACATGCAAAAAAGGCGTCAGTGATCCTAATCCATACTTGCACAAAGTAAAGCAGCAGATTTTTTTCAAAAAATAATTCATCAAGCGCTCAGTGTTATTACAGAACAAAAGCTCACTCTATGTCATCAGCACGCACATGACTTGAAAAAAATATAAATACTTCTACAAGAATACATACCTCGATTTCGTTCTTAGTAAGAGCTGCAAAAAGTGTATCAGGAGACACCTCAACAACTATGTATTGTTGTGCTCTTTGTTTTTGTAAGTGTCTCTGCAGAGAGACTTCTTTGTTGAGTCGATTTGAGATGTCAAAACCTGTGTTAAACACATAAGATCAAGAATGTGTCTCAGTAGAAGTAATGAAATTTTACGTAAGTGATCAAGAATATGTCTCAATAAAAGTGATGAAATTATAAGCACATACCCCACGTATTGCATAGACATGGTCTTCGTTATCCTCACGTATTTTATTCATTCGATACTGAAATAGTAGTACTAATCCTTGTTCTAAAAATCCCCGCCTACCCCGATTACTCTCCGCTAAATTGCTAGACCCACCCTATATGTCTCGATTAATGACTAATCCCCTAAAGAAATCAGTTATCCGATTACTCTCCGCCTAATCCGATTACTCGCCGCTTAATTTTACATATCCCAATTATTTTTAGATTGCAAGTATAAAAAAACTTTTTACTTTTGTTATTCAATCATTTAAATTGGGATTTTGTGATGTTTTACAATAACTAATATTCAAATTTAAAGAAAAATCATAAAAATTTATCTCAAAAATACAGTTTTATGTGTTTACTGCAATTTTGAAAATAATATTGGATTAATATGTTTTAAAATATTAAAATAACCCTAAAACTAATCCCCGATTTTAATTCGATTTTACGATTATGCTAGGCCCATACCGAGCACCCGACTAGCGCCTAGCGATTTTTCAAACAAGGGTACTAATACGTCCTCTTCCTCCTATATAAATAATGCTTCTCTGTTTTAGTTAAAAAAAAAATCAAATCAATTCCATCACTACTCACTATAGTTAACAAACTTGAAATATTGTATCGTTCCAACTGAAAATAAATGCTAGTTTACACCATCAAATTGTATCCTTCGTTTTGATATCTTTTACTCCGTGACATAGCCGGGGGTGGTGGGGAGTTTAAGTCCTAGTATATTATTAATATTTATATTTGTAATAATCTAAGGGTCCAAAATATTCAGATTTTTGGATATTTTGGATATTTTTTGGTATTTAACCTACTTTTGAGTAAATTTGGACAAACAATGTTTATGGTTCTTAGATATTTTGCGTATTTTCGAGTTTTTTGGATACATTTGGTTACAAAAATTTTGTTTTTTAGGAATTTCGGGTAATCCGAATCTAAACCTAAAATCTAGAAATACTCGAATAGGTTCTATACCTCTAAACCCGAAATACCCGATCCGAACCCGTACGTCAACCCCTACTTTTAAGCCATACTAATTCTAAAATTTAGGCCACTAGTTCTAAATTTGGGCCTAAATCTGTTTTAACAATCTATATATATATATTTTCGAAGTACAAATATGAAAAAAATACAGGAGTTGACACTTATTTACAAGAGAATGTCATTGTCATAAATATTTATTTATTAATTAATATTACAAAATATTTTTGAAAAAAATCTTTTAAAAACCGTAGCTTTCAAATATGGTAACAAATTGATTTTTTTTCTAAATTAGATTAATTGCTAATTTTCTTAAAACATCTCTACCTAATTTAAACATTAATATATTATTTTTCTTTCACTTTATATGATCTTATAGTAATTTATTTTGAATTTATATAAAATACATATTATTAATAAAATAATAGATTTTTTTTTGCATATAATGTGATTCAAATTTTTAAAAAAGGACATATATTACTCAATCGATGAAGAAAAAATATGTGTACAATTTACCACATTGCTTAAAAAATTAGAGAATGGTTCAGAGTCATACTATAAAAAGGACCAAAATGATTCTGAATACAAAACGGGGTTATATGGTGGGACGGGTTTGTGTCGATATTAATACGGGACAGTATACCATGGGTGAAACCTAGAATTAAAAATAAAAATATAATTATATAATCTTAAATACTAAACAAACCAAACAATATTAACAAAACAAATATAACTTAAAATTTTAAAATTTTTAGTTTAAATAAATCGACCCGCAATATACCGTGGGGTAAATTTTTTGATACAAAATAATATCAAATTATTATAATAGTCAATGATTATAAATGCTTGCCAATATTAACACTATCATTTTTACACGTATAAATCTTTTAAATACACATATTCAACTATATTAATTATAATATAAAATAATTAAATGAGAATTTTCTTTATAATATCAATTTAAAAATCTAAAAAATTATAAATTATTATATAAAATACATAAATACAATTTTGCCCCGCGGTGTACCGCGGGTTAAATCCTAGTGTAGAACAAAGATCAAGCCGTTCCGGTTTACGAAAATTAAACCGGTGATTTTAAAGAACCGGATGAAATAAAAACCCTAAATTTTGTTTGCTTGCTGTCTTCCACTTAAAAATTGGATGTTTCAGCTTCTCCGATGCCTTTGCATGTCTTGTCGAACCTGAAAGCTTTAGTCTTTTCTTCGTATCTCCGCTTGTAGAGCCATCGAAACCAAGGGATTAAGTAAATCCCAACTCTGTATTTGACTGAAAGCCCTAAAAATTAGGTTTTGGATTAAGCTTTTGTAACAAGGTAGGTTTCGAGGTTTTACTCATTACTTTTTTCGGGGGTTACTTTGTCCATAAGATTCATATTTGCGTTTTTTCGGGGGTTTCATTAGTTTCCATCTATGAAAGTTCATGTTCGAATCTATAAGATTCCTATTTTACCAGTTTAACGGGTTTATTTGCACTCGAAAGATCAAACCAATCTACTCTGTTTGGTAATATACTCTCTTCGTTTCTTGCATAGAAAATGGATCTCTTAAGCAATCTACCAGACGATGTTCTTTGTCATATATTGTCCTTCCTTAACACAAAGGAGGCGGCCTTGACATCGGTTCTGTCAAAGAGGTGGCGCAATTTGATTGCATTTGTCCCTAATCTTGATATTGAGGACAATTTTTTTTATTTACCCGGAAAGGGTAAAGAGAAACAGGACAAAATTCAACAGCTCTTCATGGATTTTGTTGATAGAGTATTGGCATTGCAGGGTAACTCTCCCATTGAGAAATTCTCCCTCGATTGTTCCGGTGTTGATTCAGAGCGAGTGGATTGTTGGATAGAGAATGTGATGGTGCGTGGTGTTTCGGAGATTTATCTATCGGTCTTTTTGGATCCGCGATCAGGAGATAACTATCATCTGTCTCCAAAATTTTTTGAGAACAAGAAACTAGTTAAGCTGGAATTAAGATATGGAATTGATATTTGTTTGTTGGATGAGAGCATTTTCTTACCGATCCTTAAAACTCTCGTTCTTGATTCAGTTTTGTTATCTGTTGATAAGTTTGAGATTCTTCTTCATGCTTTGCCTTCGCTTGAGGAATTAGTCCTGGATGATATAGACTGGAAAGTATGGAATGTGACTGTGACTGTATCAAGTGCAAGCCTCAAGACCATTACAATAAATCGCAGCGGTTGTTTAGATTCTTTATCATTTGATTCACCTAGTCTTGTTTACTTATGTTACTCTGATTTTGTCGCGGAAGATTATCCCGTAGCTAAAATGGAAAACTTGTTTGAGGCTCGAATTAGCCTTTTGGTAAGCGAAGAAGCAAGAGCGCGAAACAATTATTTGTTAGAGGATGATGTTGTTCTCCGATTTGGAAATGTGGGGAAGCTCATGAATGGCATACGAAATGTTCAGTATCTAGACTTGTCTGCTAACACTCTAGAGGTCAGTTTTCTTCTTTTCTTTCTTGTAATATCTTCTCCGGCTCAACTCATGGAGCGACGGTCATGTTTTTTCGGTCCCATTTTTACCAAATAAGCAAAGGTCTAATTATGGTTTGTCTTGTTATCAGGTGCTTTCTGTATGCTGTGAATCGATGCCAGTGTTCAAAAACCTCAAATCGTTAACTATAAAGAGTGAAGAGAGCCGAGGATGGCAAGCAATGCCAGTTCTTCTAAGGAATTCTCCGCATCTAGAAACTCTAGTTCTTGAGGTATATATAGAAACAACTCATTAATCTGCCAAACATGTTCAGAGACAGAGTTCATATATTGAATCTCTATTGTTTCCTTTTATCTTTTCAGGGTCTCTTTCACCATGTCACAGATAAATGCGGGGATGCTTGTGACTGCGTTTCTCGAAAGGGCAAAGGTCGTTCACTCACATCTTGCCCAGTAAAAGTGTTTGAGATTAAAGGGTTTCAAGGAACAATGAAAGTGATGAATATAATAAAGCATTTCTTAGACTATTTTCCATGTTTGAAAGAGGTAAAGATATATATGGAAGAGAAGGATCCTACACAACTCAAAGTCACTGAAGTTTCTGAAGTCATGGCGGAGAAGATGGAACTCGACAGCAAGTCATCGAGTTGCAATATCCAGCTCCTATTGAATGGTTGCTTGTATAAGAAGTGGACTGCACATTGAAGAACGAAAGCCGCTCATAGTGTTGCCAACGTTTCCTTGGACTTTGACATTGGTTTTATTTTGTTTATTTGGCTTGAAAACATCTTTTACTTCCCCAGCAATTATTTGGTCTTTAATAATGGGACTTCATTAAATATTTTGTGAAAGCAAGAGCCGACTTCATTGAATATGTTAGTTAAAATGCTAATGAAAGTTTATTGTGATACCGTCCATCTTTTGCTATCGGCCAATAAAATTAAAACCAATACCAAACCGAATTACTTACTGTTTGTCTTAAATTTTAATATTTCGCCAATAAAATATCAATTTTGAATGTTTCAGCTTCTTCTCCAAAGCATTTACATGTCTCACTCATTACACTGGAAAAAAATAGAGTCATTTGCATTCATTGAAGCCCCTAGCTTCAATCTTTGCCTTTGAAGTGACATTTACATTTTTTCTGCCCCTGAGAGCTGAAAGTGTTGGTCTTGGACTCTTGTTTCATAGTTTTGATGTTTAAGATGTGCAGTGGATAGTTAGTGCACACTGGATAGCAGGCCCGACCCGTCCATAAAGCAAGTGAAGCATGTGCTTTAGGCCACATATTATATTCTAAAAATATGGGCTACATTACAAACCTTTTTCGTCAGCTAAGATGGTTACGTAGTCTTTGGACTCGTCTTAGACCGTGAGTTTGAACCTCCAAATGACCATATCACTCTTTTTTTTTCCATTTTCCACATATGAAAATATGCTTTAGGCCTCTAATATGCTAGGACCGGCCCTGCTGGATAGTCTTACAAGAAGAAAACTTACTCATAGTTTTTGTTGAGAAGCTAAAATTAAGTTACATATTATGCTCTTCTTTGGTCAACTTTGCTTTGGTTCTCTGACTTCTCTTCTCTATAACTATAAACAATACTTTCGTAGGCCAAAAAAACTTAAGGTGTTCCGGTCAACGAAATTAATCTTAAACCTTCAATTTTGTTTGCTTGCTGTCATCGTCTTCCACCTTCTCCGACGCCTTCTTGTCAAACCTGAAAGACATAGAAACCCAACTCTCCCTCCCTCCCTCCCTCCCTCCCTCCCTCCCTCCCTCGAAATCCCTAAAATTTGTAAGCTTTTGTAATCAATGTAGGTTTACTCATTCTCTTTTTTTTGCATGAATGTAAAATTTATATTCATTACAATAAATGCAACTGTTGTTTTGAGAATCTTGAAAAAAAATTAAACATAATTAGATATTGTTCGAAGCGGTATGAAACCAAAACTGCAGACCACCGACCAGTTTTGAACTGTTGAGTTCCCCAACTGTTGGATAGTCCTAAATATGTTTTAAACATTTTTGTCAATGATTTTTGCAAGTTCCCAAGCCGGGATAGTAGTCTCACCATGCCGCCTACTGTTGCGTTCTCTCCATAAACTATGAATCGATGCTTGGAATACATACCTTAATGTGAAGACGTGGAGGTATGGCTGAGAGGAGTCAAGTAGAAGAGGAGTGATTAAACTCCAGCTCGAGATGTTGCTGCCATGAAAAATACTTGAATTAACACATTTCTAGAGTTAAAGATGATAAAACATTTCGTGAAAAAGATGATAAAGAACAACTTACCTTTTAAAGTCCTCCCATTTAAGAAAAAGATGAAAAAGTTTGATTTACTTCTATGTTTAATTATAAAGCTGTACCGGTTGAACCGAATCAAACCAGTGATTTTTAAGAACCGTATCTATATCTATATATTAAATAAAATCCTAAATTTTGTTTGCTTACAATGTTTCGGCTTCTCCGATCACTTTTCTTCATTTCTCTTTGTAGATCCAAAGAAACCAGCGATTAAACAACTCCTAATCTCTCTTCTTTCTGACCTAAGATATTAGCTTCTAACGACAGATAGCAACGTTCTTTCGGACGGAGAAGGGGCTTTGTGATAGATTCTATCTCCCCAATGAAACGAATTGGGGTCTTGGTAAGTATCGACGTTTACACAATTCTCTTTTTAGGTCTCGTAGTTCACAAGTTTCCTTTAGGATAGATTCCTATTTGCGTTGTTAACTTAGGGTTTACATTGACTTTGGGTTTCTCTCTGTTAACTTAGGGTTCGAAATCAATTGCTTAACGTGTTTCCTTCTTTGCTTGGTCTCTTCGTTCATGCAGAGAAAATGGATCTCTTAAGCAAACTACCAGACGAGGTTCTTTGTCATACATTGTCCTTCCTTACCACAAAGGAGGCTGCTGTAACATCGGTTCTCTCCAAGAGATGGCGCAATCTGCTTGCATTTGTCTCTAATCTTCACATTGATGACTCTGTCTTTTTGCATCCCGAAGAGGGTAAGCGGGATCGGAACGAAATTCGACAGAGCTTCGTTGAATTTGTGGATAGAATATTGGCATTGCAAGGTAATTCTCCCATTAAGAAAGTCTCCCTCAAGTGTCTAGGTATGCTTGATGCAGAAAGACTGGATGATTGGATAAGTAATGTGTTGGTGCGTGGTGTTTCCGAACTTGATCTGTCAATCAGTTTCAGTGTGGAAGAATACATTCTCATGTCTACAATACGTTTCGAGAGCAAGAATCTAGTTAAGCTGAAATTACACAATGCATATATTGGTTGCCAAATCGAGAGCGAATTATTACCAATGCTTAAAACTCTCGTCCTTGAGTCAGCTAGGTTTTTTGTTGATTATAAGTCTTTTCTTAGTGCTTTCGCTGTACTTGAGAATTTAGTCCTGGTTGATGTATTCGGGTACTACAGTAGTAAGGATGTCACCGTGTCAAATGCAAGCCTCAAGACCCTGACAATGAATTCCAACCATTTCACGGGCATTCTTTCATTTGATACACCTAGTCTGGGTTACTTCAGTTACTCTGACTATGTTGCTAAAGACTACCCCTTAGTTAAAATGGAAAACTTACTTGAGGCTAGGATCAGCCTTTTGGTAACTGAGGATCAAATCGAACGAGCGAGAGAGCCAAATAACGATGGGGTGGAGGATGGTGAGGACGATGTTGTTCTCCGATTTGGAAATGTGGGGAAGCTCATGAATGGCATACGAAATGTTCAGTATATAGACTTGTCTGCTAATACTCTCGAGGTCAGTTTTCTCTTTTTTATTCTCTTGTAATATCTTCTTCGTCTCAATATCTCGAGCATGACGGTCACTTTTAATGAAGTAGGGAAGGTCTTGTTTTAAAACATCTATGGCAAAATGTCTAATTGTGGTGTGTCTTATTCAATTGGTCTCGAGGAAATAAAAAAAGGAAATCCAGGAGGGTTATGTTTATTTAGTTCCATTTTTATCGAACTAGCGAAGGTCTTGTTTTGAGACATGTAATGGCAAAATGTCTATTTGTGGTTTGTTTTGTTATCAGGTGCTTTCTCTATGCTGTGAGTCAATGCCAGTGTTCAAAAAACTCAAATCTCTATCTATTAAGAGTGAAGAGAGTCGAGGATGGCAAGCAATGCCAGTTCTTCTAAGGAATTCTCCGCATTTAGAAACTCTAGTCCTTGAGGTATAGAAACAAATCATTTGCCAAACGTGTACACACATAGAGTTCATGCTTTTTTTGAATCTCTTATTGTCTTCTTTATGCTTTCAGGGTCTCTTGCACTATGTCACAGATAAATGCGGGGATGCTTGTGACTGCGTTACTCGAGAGGAAAAGGGTCGTTCACTCACTTCTTGTCCAGTAAAAGTTTTAGAGATTAAAAGGTTTCAAGGAACAATGAAAGAAATGCACATGATAAAGCATTTCTTGGACTATTTTCCGCGTTTGAAGGAGATAAAAATATATATTGATGAGAATAGTATTACACCTGAAGTGTCTAAAGTTATCGCGGAGAGGATGGAACTCTACAACAAGTTATCGAATTGCAATGTGCAGCTCCTGGTAAGTGGTTAATTGTATAAGGAGTGGAGTGTACAATGAAGTCTTTGAAGAACAAAAGTTGCTCATAGTTTTCCCCTTGGAATTTGAATTTGGTTTAATTTTATTTTTATTTCATTGGCTTGAAAACATATCAAACCTAACCATCGCAACTTAAACCAATTGCAAAAATGTTGTTTTTTCTTCTTATTTGTCCAATGTTTCGAGTCATTTACTATTTGATCGCTTGTCTTCTTTATTTTTTATTCGCTAGCAATTTTCTCTTAGTTCTATGTTGGCTTGTTTATTAGAAGTAGCAAATGTTACTAAGGTAGTATTGTAGAACAGAAGCCTAAATTAAGCTTAACTAAGGTAGAAAACAAACTTTTTTACTATTCCCTACATATCATTTTAATTATAAGCGATGTTTTCAATTTTCTATGTAAAACTTAAATACATTTAAATTTTAATGATATTTTAAAAAAAAAAAAAAAGAGATTTTTGTGATTTTTTAATATGTGTGCAACAACCTTAAACATCACTTAAAATGAAACATAGGAAATACTATATACTACAAGTTTGGATTCATTTTATCCAGTTTATTAAAGTTACCGATTCATATTTGGTAAACCGGAAAAGCTTCTTATGTTAACGTGCACTAGTCAACTTCGTAAACACTAGTCCGTCTTCTATTCTAGTTTGAATAAGCTGGTTTTTAATCTCCAACTCTTTCCATTCTTTTATCGCAATTAGTTATTCCTCTGTCGGCTTTGTTTTAGTTTCTGGTGGTTTAGGGTTTCCCTGTAAAACAATAGTCCATAGAGTCAGAGATCTAGACTTTAATATTGCTCTCATTCTCTTAACCCAAAGACTAAAACTTTTATCATCAAACACAGAGATAATTTGTGTTGTATTTGACTGCTGCATCTTTTCTTTGTGATTTTTGTGATTGATTCTCTTGTGGATACTTCTTCTCTTCATAGACATGTGCTACTCACATGTTTATTTGACTTTACCTTCTTCATTGTTGCAGGTATCGTGAAACTCATTTCAATCTCTAATTTTTGAATCTTCTTCTTCGTTCTTAATTGTTGGAGACAAGCTTACTCCAACACTTCCTTTAAGCTTGTACTCATTAATTCTAAGCTTTTCTATCAACCTCTCAAAGTGTGCCGTTCCGAGAGCTTTGGTAAGTATATCGGCTCTTTGTTCTTCATTCACTTGAACAGTGAAGTAGATTGATTACTCTGTCTGATTGTGCTTCTCTCACCACGTGATATTTAATTTTCATGTGCTCAGTTTCTTTCCTTTTTGGGGTTTCTTACTTCAAAGTTTCTATCTCTTCGTTATGATCTCGATTTTAATGACTCTGTCTTTCTCCACCCCGAAGAGGGTAAGGAGGATAGGGTCGATATTCAAGTGAACTGGCTTTGATTCACCCCGAGCGGATGGTTGGATAAGTAACGTATTGGCTCGTGGTGTTTCCGAACTTGATGTGCTAATCATTTTGTATGGAGCATCTTTCTTTAGGCCGTCTTCAAAATGTTTCAAGAGCAGGAATATGGTTACGCTGAAATTAAACAGTGTTGGTATTATTGATTGGTTGGCTGGGGACATATTCTTACCAATGCTTAATACTCTCGTTCTACACTCAGATAGGTTATGTGTTGATAAGTTTTTTTTTTGTGTTTTGCCTGTGCTTGAGGAATTAGTCTTGTTTGCTGTTAGCTGGATATATAGGGATGTCGGCGTGTCAAATCCAAGCCTCAAGACCCTAACAATAAATTACAACTATTATTTAGGCACTCTTTCGCTTGATACACCTAGTCTTGTTTACTTCTGTTACTCTGGTTATGTTGCTAAAGACTACCCCGTTGTTAAAATGGAAAACTTATTTGAGGCTAGAATCAGCCTTTTGCTTACTGAAGTTCAAATCAAGCGAATAAGAGCACCAAATATCGATTGGGTGGAGGATGATGATGAGGATGACAATGTTGTTCTCCGATTAGATAATGTGGGGAAGCTCATGAAAGGCATACGAAATGTTCAGTATCTTAACTTGTCTCCGAATACTCTCGAGGTCAGTTTTCTTTTTCTTCTCTTTCTTGTAATATCCTTACTCAATTGGTCTCGAGGAAATAAAAATAAGGAAATCCAGGACGGTCGTGTTTATTTTTAGTCCCATTTTTAGCGAACTAGCGAAGGTCTTGTTTTGAGACATGTAATGGCAAAATGTCTAATTGTGGTTTGTCTTGTTTTCAGGTACTTTCTATGTGTTGTGAATCGATGCCAGTGTTCCATAACCTCAAATCTTTATCTATCAAGAGTGACGAGAGTCGAGGATGGCAAGCAATGCCAGTTCTTCTAAGGAACTGTCCACATCTTGAAACTCTAGTCCTTGAGGTGTAGTAACAAGTCATTTGCCAAACCGTGTAAACGCATAGAGTTCTTACTTTGAATTGAATACATTATTCTCTCTTTTATGCTTTCAGGGTCTCTTGCACCATGTCACAGATAAATGCGGGGATGCTTGTGACTGTGTTACCTGAGAAGACAAAGGTCGTTCACTCACATCTTGTCCAGTAAAAGTGTTAGAGATTAAAGAGTTTCAAGGAACAATGAAATAGATGCACATCATAAAGCATTTATTGAACTATTTTCCGTGTTTGAAGGACATAAAAATCTACATGGAAGAGAATGATCCTACACAGTTCAGAGTCCTTGAAGTGTTTGAAGTTATCGCGGAAATGATGGAGCACTATGAAAAATCATCCGGTTGCAATGTCCAGCTCCTAGTGGGTGGTTACTTGTATAAGAAGTGGACTGCACAATGAAGTCTCTCAGGAACAAAAGCTGCTCATATTTATGCCAAAGCCTCCTTGAAACTGTTTCAAACTAAACCAATTGGGAAGCTGTAGTTTCTTTTCGTCTTCTTCTTTTTCGAATGTTTACAGTCATTTACTATTGATCGCCATCAATTTTTTTTTATTTGTTCTTCATTGAAGCCAAATGAAAAAAGGTACAGAAGAAGCCTAACTTAGGCGGCTTACTATCGCAAAACTTAACAAAACTTAAAAACCAAAACTTTCTCTGTTTGTACCATAAAATCTTATTTGAGGCTCTAATACTTTGATTATCCCGTGGATGATTATTCAGTACTTAACAAAGGATTCTGAATATCATACACACAAGTGAGAGAATCTGAACGAATAGAAAAAAAAAAAGTTAAAACAGAGAAAGTATTGAAAAATTCAAAAAATGTTTTACTTGATATTGCTCATTGACGAAATTGCCGCCTGCATCATTGAAAGACCAGTCCTTCGTTGTAAATATCTTCGTATCTTCACATATTCAATGTCAAAACAAAACATATAATCTTCAAGATCTGTCGATTTGCTCCAACAAAATGAGAGAAATTCAAACGGAGAAGTTTCGGTAGAAACGCTACGTGACAAGTTTAGGGTTTTCGGCGGGAGTTAGCTTCTTTTATCAGACGGGTTTGCTTCGGCCCAAAAGCCCACTGAACATAAAAAGCCTACGAGGACCAAGTCAATTACTTGATGTTTAAGGTAGAACCTTATTATGTTAATGTCGACAGAAAAATTGCATTAGTAACTCTAACAAGTCCCACATCGGAAACATATGAAAATTTAAGCTAGTATATAAGAAAGCTTAAAACAAGCACTAGTAACCAATTGGCTTTGAGGTGGATAAAATCTTTAGCTTTCCCGTGGGATCATAATCCTTGACCCAATAGGGTACACTAACATTATAATAGGATATGTGTATGGTCCATCCTCTTCACGGGAAAGAACTTGAGCCAAAGCCAATTGGTTTTTTTTATGCTATCTATATGAATCATATAATAGCTCAAAACAATCAAATGAAAGATAAATCGCCCATGTATATTGAGGTTTTTCAATAGCAACTTTTTTAATTTATGATCGGACAAAAAATTCTGATGACAATCGATATGAATTTACCTGATCAAGTCGGAAAATATTACTAATCAGGAACTTCTATAAGTATAGATCTTGGTTTTTAGAAGAGAAAGAGACAACAATGTCGAAAATTCCAACCAAATCTTGGCCAACTTTACATACAAAAACCCGGAAAACTTGATGTAAAGTTAATGGCACATTGCATATAGGTTCAAGAAAGTCTAAATAAATATAACATTTCATCAAAAGTTTAAGATCAACAAGATTTCTACTATGAAGAACATTAAAACAAATCACCAATGACTCTTCTCAGCTCTCGCTTGATCATTCATACGGACGCAACTGCAGCCCCACGAAACTGCATGCATAAACCCAAAAAAGTTACGTGTAAGTCAAGAAAACACAAAGCTGTCTTTTCCAAACATCAAGAAGATTGGTCTTTCAGGATTAATTTACCTTTGCCTTGAGATTCAATGTGAGGAACTTATTAAGTGTGTGAGATCTAACAGAGAAAGCATCCATGTGAAGATTTCTCAGAGTTTCCATGATGTCTGCAACTATGTAGTCTCTGTAAGTACATCTTACTTCGATCACAACTTCTGTTTCTTTGAGTTTAACTCTCAAATGTGTCTTATCTCTGAAAACAGTGACTTGTTCGGACTCTCCTGAATTACCATCGATCTTCGTGCTATCATCGTAGTTTCCTGATGTCTACACAGAGTCGTTAAGGTTCTCTGTCGTCTTCCTTTGTCTTTCTACGAAGTTAACTGATCCCATACATGATTCTAGCTCTTCTACTCTTGCCTCCAGTTCTTGCAAGTGCTTGATTGTGTTATTCAGTATTGATTCTTATCAACCTGCACAAGGATTTAAAACAGAGTGTTGGTTTCTGAAAACATGGTCTTGTGTCTAAGGATATAACGGTTTAGGAAAAGAGTTATTACCTCGTTGACTGTGGTAACCATAGTTCTAAGGACTGAACTTTTCGTTCTCTTTTCTTGTATCCGAAGGATCATCTTGATTATTTGAGGCTCAACTCTGGTTTTTGGTAACTGAATACGAAATAAAGCGGGTAAGAGCGCCAAATAATGATTGGATACAGGACGATGATGTTTTCAGGTGCTTTCCCTATGCTCTCAATCACAACCTCAAATCTTTAACTATTGAGAGTTACGAGAGGCGAGGATTGCAAGCACTACCACCAGTTCTTCTAAGGAATTTTTTTTTAAAAACTTATTTTCCAAAAATGTACAAAGATAGAATTCATACTTTGAATGTCTTATTGTCTCATTTATGCTTTCAGGGTCTCTTGCACCATGTCACTGATAAATGTGGGGATGCTTGTGACTGCGTCTCTCGGGAGGAGAAAGGTCGTTCACTCAAATCTTGTCCTGTAAAAGTTTTAGAGATTAAAGAGTTTCAAGGAACAATGAAAGAGATGCACATGATAAAGCATTTCATGGATTATTTTCCGTGTTTTGAAGGAGATGAAAATCTTCTATATGAAAAAGAATGGTCGTCCTACACAGTTCAGAGTGGTCCCTGTAGTTATTGCAGAGATGGTGGAACACTACAACAAGTTATCGAGATGTTTTCAGTCATATATGATCGCTTGATCATAATCTTTACTTCCCCAGCAATTTGCTTTGAGTTGTTCTACATTGATGTATTAACCGCAATCATCTCATAGCGTATAGATTTAAAAGGTGACTCACTGTTGAGTGATCTAATTTAGCGTATTGTTGTATCCTAGCGCAAAATCAATGGATGCAATACAACATCGAACATAAAAGAGTTCCTTGCTTTCATAGACCAAAAGAAAAAAGCAACCCTTGCTTTGGAAACATATATAAAATGAAATATAAAATGAGGCCCTGATATTTATTAACAATATTTAACATATGATTTGTTTTTATATATGTTAATTTTTATTATTGTTTTTAAAAAATATCCAAAAAAATGGGCCTCAATATCACTAATTTAACTAAGTAAAATTTTAAAATGGGCCTAAATAACCAAAAAATACTTTAAAAAAAAAAAAAAAAAAAAAAAATTGTGGGACCCCAAGCAGTGGCTTGGGTAGCCTGTCCTGCGCGCCGGGCCTGCAACTAGGTAATGTCTAGTTTCAGGTGCTTTCTTTATGATGGCTAGCAATGCTAAGAATGTGAAAGAACTTCCCACACTTGGAAACAATGAAAATACTTGAACAACAAATTTCGAGGAACATTTCTAGAGTTAAAGATGATAAAGTATCTCCTGTACTCATTCCATGTTTGAAGGAGATGGAGATACATATGCTGAAGAAAATAATCCCTGGAATGTTTGACCATGTCTCGGGGCTAATGATACACTACAACGAGTTACCAAGTTATGATGTCTTTTTCAAGGAACAAAATCTTGCTCTTTGTTTTACCTGCGTAAAGTTTGCTTCCTTCTCTGTTTAGTTCTAAAGTTTTTTTAAGCAATAGTTTTGCAGCCTAAAACTCAAGCTGTCCCGGTTTAACCGAAATTAAACCGGATAAAATAAAACCCTAAATTTTGTTTGCTTAAAATTTTCATGTTTCGGCTTCTTCGATGCCTTTGCTTTGTAGAGCCAAAGGAACTAGCGATTAAGCAACTACCAACTCTCTGACCTATAATTTGGGTTTGGTAAGTATCGAAGTTTACTCAATTCTCTTTTTAGGGTTTCGTAGTTCATAAGTTTCATTTTGCATAGATTCCTATTTGCTTTCTTAACTTAGGGTTTACATTTACTTAGGGTTTCTCTCTGTTAAATTTCATGTCCAAAATCAAATATTGTTTTACCAGTTATAATTGTTTCCTTCTGACCAAACCTTTCTCTGTTTGGTAGTATACTCTCTTCGTTCGTGCACACAAGATGGATCTCTTAAGCAATCTACGAGACGATGTTCTTTGTCATATATTGTCCTTCCTTAGGAGACTAATCTCAATTGCTCCTCAGAGTCAAAAAATTAATCTACATACTCTCCTCTAATCCACATACTCTCCTCCTTTTAATGAAAGGACGAAACTACCCCTTTACTAGGTATCCTAGTTGTACCACCTCCTAGTTGTACCAGACCTTAGTTGTACCTCCTCCTAGTTGTACCACCTAGTTGTACCACCACCTAGTTGTACCACCTCCTAGTTGTACCAGACCTTAGTTGTACCTCCTCCTAGTTGTATCATACCTTAGTTGTACCAGACCTTAGTTGTACCTCCTCCTAGTTGTACCACCTAGTTGTACCACAACCTAGTTGTACCACCTCCTAGTTATACCACAACTTAGTTGTACCCGAATATTCCCTAGTTGTACCAGTTACAACTGGTATAAAAGGATTCGAACCCTGGGGGCGCGCGCGTGCGCATGGAGCTCGCAACCACTGAGCTATTGTGTTTTTCGTTGAACACTTACCGATTTAATTGTATTTAACCTTTATCACCCGAAATCAACCCTCATTAAGGGTAATTTTGTCTTTCTACCATTGAGGAGTATTTGAGACAAAATTTGGAGCTTGAGGAGCCCCTGAGAATTTGTTCCCCTTCGTTACCACCAAGGAGGTTAGTTTGACATCGGTTCTCTCTAAGAGATGGCGCAATCTGCTTGTATTTGTCTCTAATCTTCATATTGATGACTCTATCTTTCTGCATCCCGAAGAGGGTAAGCGGGACAGGTACAAAATTCGACAGAGCTTCGTTGAATTTGTGGATAGAATATTTGCATTGCAAGGTGATTCTCCCATTATGAAAGTCTCTCTCAAGTGTCAAACTAAGCTTGATTCAGACTGCGTTGATGGTTGGATAAGTAATGTGTTGACGCGTGGTGTTTCTGAACTTGATCTGTCAATCGATTTGTGTATGGGTGAATACATTCTGTTGTCTTCAAAACGTTTCGAGAGCATTAATCTAGTTAAGCTGAAATTACACAGACTTTGTATTGGCCAACTGGATATCCAGATTTGTTGGTTGGCTAGTGGAATATTCTTACCAATGCTTAAAGCTCTTGAACTTGAGTCAGTTGGGTTTTATGTTGATGAGTTATTTCTTAGAGCTTTGCCTGCGCTCGAGGAATTAGTCATGGTTGATGTATTCTGGTTCTGGAGCGTTACGGATGTCACCGTGTCAAATGCAAGCCTCAAGACCCTAACTTTAAATTCCAACCATTATTCAAGCACTATTTCATTTGATACACCTAGTCTTGTTTACTTCTATTACTCTGATTATGCTGCTAAAGACTACCCCGTAGTTAAAATGGGGAACTTATTAGAGGCTAGAATCAGCCTTTTGGTTACGGAAGATCAAATCGAGCGAGCAAGAGCGCCAAACGATGATTGGTTAGCTAATGGTGAGGACAATGTTGTTCTCCAATTTGCAAATGTGGGGAAGCTCATGAAAGGCATACAAAATGTTCAGTGTCTAGACTTGTCTGCTAATACTCTCGAGGTCAGTTTTCTTCTTTTCTTTCTTGTAATATCTTCTTCGGGTCAACTCATGGAGCATGAAGGTCATGTTTCTTTGGCCCCATTTAACGAAGAAGTGAAGGTCTTGTCTTGAAACATTTAATGGAATAATGCCAATTTTGGCTTGGCTTGTATTTAGGTGCTTTCTCTATGCTGTGAATCTTTACCAGTGTTTAACAACCTCAAATCGTTAACTATTAAGAGTGAGGAGAGTCGAGGATGGCAAGCAATGCCAGTTCTTCTAAGGAACTGTCCACATTTAGAAACTCTAGTCCTTGAGGTATATAAAAAAAAAAAAAAAAACTCATTTGCCAAAACATGAACGAAGATAGAGTTCATACTTTGAATTGAATCTCTTATTGTTTCCATTATGCTTTCAGGGTCTCTTTCACCATGTCACAAATAAATGCGGGGATGCTTGTGACTGCGTTTCTCGAGAGGAACGTTCACTCACATCTTGTCCAGTAAAAAATTTAGAGATTAGAGGGTTTCAAGGAACAATGAAAGAAATGAACATGATAAAGCATTTCTTGGACTATTTTCCGTGTTTGAAGGAGATAAACATCTATATTGAAGAGAATGCACCTGAAGTGACGGAAGTTATCGCGAAGAGGATGAAACTCTACAACAAGTTATCGAATTGCAATGTGCGGCTCTTGGTAAGTGGTTATTTGTATAAGGAGTGGAGTGCACAATGAAGTATTCGAAGAACAAAGTTGGTCATAGTGTTTTTCTTCTTCTTTCTCATATTTTTGAGTCATTTACTTTGATCGCATGTCTTGTTTATTTTTACTCGTTAGCAATTTTCTCTTGATGGTATTGTTGGCGTATTTAGTTGAAGTGGCAAATGTTACAAAGGTAGTAAGGTACAAAATAAGCCTAATTTAGAGCTTACTAAGGTGGAAACGAACTTTTTTTAGAAAATCGAATTATTAACTTTTTTCATCAACGTCTCATTCAAGTTTTGATTTAATCGATGAGAAGCATTCCATCAGCCTTAGCAACGTAGATCCGGCTACACCTATCTATCAATGCTTTCTCGGACTCACAAGTTATTGTCTCTCCTCATCCATTAGGTGGTTACTTGTATAAGAAGTGGACTGCACAATGGAGTCTCTAAAGAACAAAAGCTGCTCATAGTTATGCCAAAGTCTCCTTGAAACTGTTTCAAACTAAACCAATCGGGAAACTGTAGTTTATTTTTGTCTTCTTCTTTTTCGAATGTTTGCTATATATGGCTTGTCTAAATTGATCGCCATCAATTTTCTTTAAGTTATTATTCGTTGAAGCCAAATGACAAAAGGTACAACAGAAGCCTAAGTTAGGCTTACTATCGCAAAACTTAACATGTTCAGAAACCAAACGAAGTTTGCTATATATGGCTTGTCTAAATTTTGCTCTTTGAAAATGAAACCGTTTCAATGCTTCGGCATCTCCTGGTTTCAAATACGAAAACAAACTTTCATATCTTGAAGATAGATTCCAGCTTTGTAGTGTGAGTCAAGCTTTGTCGAGCATAGTATTATAGTTGTGATGTAAAAAAGGTGTACTAGCTAGTGCCCACTGATGAGTCTTCAAGGAAGAAAACTTCCTCATAGTTTTGTTCAAAAGCTAAATTATACTCCTTTTAATTTATAAATACTATCTCTCTTTTTTTTTTTTTTCAAATTACAGACTTTCCAGCAGCCAAATTACATAGTAGCACATTTGATGCGTTTAGTATTTCCAATTATTTTAAATAAATTAAATTTTACGCAAATATATTTTGAATACATCAAACTATGTATACATAATCCCACTCAAAATAATTTATGATGAAATAAAATATAATGTGATTACTTATAAATATTTTTAATTCAATTATATAAAAATATTTTGAATTTATTCTAGAGAAATATTATTTTTGCAAATAGTTAATTTAATTTATAAAAATAATATAATTGATTTTAGAGTATTTATCTCTATTACTTATATATTTAGACTTTAAAAACATTTTTTTTTAATTTCTCTCTTTCAAAATTTTCTTAAATTTTGTAAACTATAAATTAGTTAATATTAATTACTACTAAATTCACGTTTTAGAAAAATATACTACTATTTATCAGAATAATCAAAAGAAATTTTGAGAAGATTTTGAGAAGATTTTGTTTCCATATAGGTGTATATAATTCTATTTAAAATAAGTAATTAACAAAAAAAAATTGTAGTAAATTCTAAAATATTGTGTTTGCTTGTATGGATATTAAAGTAATTAATATTTGTGAGATTTGTTTGGATGTTTAGGTTTATCGGATGCCTTTGCATGTCTTGTCGAACCTGAGAGCAAGTGATTTAGAAACTCCCAACTCTTCTCTTCTGACTAAAATCCCAAAAAAATTGGGTCTTGGATTAAGCTTTTGTAACAAGGTAGGTTTCGAAGTTTATTAAATCTGTTTTTGGGTTTCTTAGTTCACACGTTTCCTTTTGGGTAGATCCCTAATTGCGCTGTTAAATTTCTTGTTCAAACCAATTGCTTTACCACTTTAAAGAAAATATCTTTGTTTGTTTGTAGTGAAACTGTTTGGTTATACACTGTCTTCCTTCGTGCTGAGAAGATGGATCTCTTAAGCAATTTGCCTGACGATGTTCTTTGTCATGTATTGTCCTTCCTTCCCACAAAAGATGCTGCTTTGACTTCCGTTCTCTCAAAGCGGTGGCGTAATATGATTGCATTTGTCCCTAATCTTGATATTGAGGACTCTGTTTTTTTGTATCCCGAAGAGCGTAAAGAGGAAAGAGATGATATTCGACAGCTCTTCATGGATTTTGTTGATAGAGTACTGGCATTGCAGGGTAACTCTCCCATTAAGAAATTCTCCCTCGGTTGTTCCGGTGTTGACTCGGATCGAGTGGATAATTGGATACAGAATGTGATGGTGCGTGGTGTTTCGGAGATTAATCTATCAATCCTTTTGGATCCGGAATCAGGAGATAACTATAATCTTTTTCCAAAAGTTTTTGAGAACAAGAAACTAGTTAAGCTCGAATTAAGATTTGGATTTGATATTTGTTGGTTGGATGGGACCATTTTCTTACCGATGCTTAACACTCTCGTTCTTGAATTAGTTTCGTTATCTGTTGATATGTTTGAGATTCTTCTTCATGCTTTGCCTGCGCTTGAGGAATTAGTCCTGGATAGAATACACTGGAAATATTGCGATGTTGCCGATTTGACTGTGTCAAGTGCAAGCCTCAAGACCATAACGATAAATCCCAGCGGTTGTTTAGATACTTTGTCATTCGATACACCTAGTCTTGTTTACATATGTTACTCTGATTATGTCGTGGGAGATTACCCTCTAGCTAAAATGGGAAACTTGTTTGAGGCTCGAATCAGCCTTTGTGTAATTGAAGAAGATATCAGCCGAGCAAGAGCGCCAAACAATGATTTGTTAGAGGATGATGAGTACAATGTTGTTCTCCGATTTGCAAATGTGGGGAAGCTTATGAATGGCATTCGAAATGTACGGTATCTCTATTTGTCTCCTAATACTCTTGAGGTTAGTTTTCTTCCTTTTCTCAATTGTGATATTTTTTATTCACTTGGTCTCAATGAAATAAAAGAAATAGAACCAGCACTTTGTCTCAATCATCGCAGTCTTGTTTGTTCGGTCCCATGTTTAACAAAATAAGCAAAAAATTTAATTGTGCGGCTTGTATTGTTATCAGGTGCTTTCTCATTGCTGTGAATCGATGCCAGTGTTCCATAACCTCAAATCTTTAACTATAAAGAGTGACGAGAGGCGAGGATGGCAAGCAATGCCAGTTCTTCTAAGGAACTGTCCATATCTTGAAACTCTAGTCCTTGAGGTATAAAACAACTCATTTTCCAAAAATGTACAAAGATAGAATTCATAATTTGGGTCCCTTATTGTCTCCTTTATGGTTCCAGGGTCTCTTGCACCATGTTACAGATAAATGCGGGGATGCATGTGACTGCGTTACCCGAGAAGAAAAAGGTCGTTCACTCACATCTTGTCCAGTAAAAGTGTTAGAGATTAAAGAGTCTCAAGGAACAATGAAAGAAATGCACATGATAAAGCATTTCTTGGACTATTTTCCGTGTTTAAAGGAGCTAAAGATCTATATTACGGAGAAGGGTCCTACACAGCGCGAAGTGTCTGAAGTTATCGCGGAGAAGATAAAACTCTACAACAAATCATCGAGTAGCAATGTCCAGCTCCTGGTTAGTGGTTACCATGCATAAGAAGTAGACTGCACGATGAAGCCTCTGACGAACATAAACTAAAGCATATATATGCTTATAAGCCGAAAAGACTTTACGCGTTATTTAGCTCAGGCCATAAACTGATGTTAAACATTGTCCCTATGATCATAATACGTAGTGTTGTGTCCTAGTGTAAGACCAATGAATGCAATACAACATCGAACATAAAAGACTTTCTTTTGTTTCTATTTTCATATATGTAGTAAACATTTCCCAAGTAAAGCACGATACGATAACTCATGGAGATAATAGTAATTCAGTTTCACAAGTAATTAGCTTAAGACCTTGAATGTTTGTAGCTACCTACAATGGTTTTTTTTTTCTTTTCCCAAAAAATATTTTATATCATTCAAGAAAATGGAATCTAGACTTTTAATGTTTTTACCGATTATTCAACCAAATTACTCCCTCTGTTTCACAAAGAGTGTCATTTTAGAGTTTTGCACACAGATTAAGAAAACATTAAATTTTTTGTTTTTTCTAAACAAAAACATCATTAACTATATACCTAAACATAATCTGCCCAATAGTAAAACAATCTGCAGAATACTAATAGTCATAAAACATAAAAAATCATTAAATTTTGCATTAACCTAAAACGACACTCTTTGTGAAACAAAAATAAAACCTTAAAACGAGACTCTTTATGAAACGGAGGGAGTATATTATTCAAAATTGATTATTTTAATTCGAATCGATAAATTTAGGTTCTGTTCACACCCCAACAGGAAATTTTCAGAACTTCCTTTGAAGTATGAAGAACCTTGAAGAGAAGTCAAACGAAAGTGTTACGTAACGGATGCATGTCCACGTACCCAAATGAAAAGCACACACAATTTACATTACATTACAGAAACGAAACGCTCGAGCACCATTAATTAATGATGGATTTACCGTTGACAGCTTTCATTATATAACCAAGACTTCACGTTAATCTTTCCCTATTTTTGTGTATTTCGAATCTTGTTCTTTTCAAAATTGTGTTCGATTCCTTGCTCTTATTGATTGCTTCTTCTTTTTTTGTGTGTTTGATTCGTTGCTCTTACCATTATAGTTTTTGGAGCTCTTTTGACCCAAAAAAAAAAGAAATTCAAAGCTGTTGGAGACTCATACGTGTATGGTGAACCCATAACAACAATACGCGTTTTATAAATGGGATATATATATAAAGTCTTATCCTATTATTCCGAGTTATAAAACACTATTAATGTTATTGTTAAAAATGGGTGAATGCACGTGGATTCTATGAAGAGAGCTCGTGTAAGCTCGGTGTATGAAGGTAAAGAGGGAAATAGATCGAGAAAAGGAGAGGAAACTCGAAGAGATCAATCTAAACACGCGAGAATGACCGCGAAAGCTCGAATGAACGTTCACAAAGAGAGCATGAAATCTCTGCCTAAACATAAAAAATCGATGATGATCATGAAGTTGATGAGAAAGAAGGATGAGATGCAAAATGATCAAAGTAATGTTATTGCTAGTGTTGTAGAAAAGGAAAAGGAGGAGAAAGAGAAAGGCGCGGTGGAGAATATCAAGGAAAAGATGGAAATGCTCTCTACAAAATGTGTTGAGGAGTGGCCGTATAAGTTAACATATGAAGAGGAATGGACGTGGTTTGCGTTTGCGTTTGGGTGGGAATGGTGGCAGCGTTATGACGCGGTCATGAGCGGTGAGAGTTGGTTTAACTAAAGATTAAGGGTTTTAATTTGTTACATATATTTTGGGTTGGTGAAACTATACATAGATAATAGTTGATACTTTGATAGGATTTCTTAAGATCGACGAAGATATTAAGAAATCAGTGTATATCGACCGAGACAATAATATATCTTTAAAGGGTTCAGTTTCGTTTATGTTTATATATAGAAACTTCTCAAAATTTCGAATAATATGTTGAAAGACTTGAAACAACTAAGATTCAAATGTTTATATAGAACACTTAGACTTAGAAATAGATATACATAGTATGGGAATTAGTCGAAAGGAAACAAAACTAGGCATTGCGCTAAATAAGAAACAAGCCGTTTTGGTACCATATAAGGGAATAATTGCTGGAGCATTCTCATAGATTTGAAAGTTTGATCTTTACATATTATCAGCTCATATGCGATCAATAGGGTCAAGGATGACATCGTTGGAGTTCTCCCATCACCTTCGAATCGATGAGATGTTCAACAAATCGGTTCATGGTATCCCTTCGATATGCATTACGGGGGCTTGTTAGGAACGTGAGATTTCAATATAAGGGGTATTATCCAACGCATTATAGTTATTGTCAAATGGTTTTTGAGTTGGATTTCTATTCAATAAGATGGTGAGAAAGTCTAACTTTTAATTTGCTCAATAATATGTTCTAGGTAGGGTTTGTTGTTGATCCAATAAGTGGAACTCAGTTCGTGATGGATTAGAAGAACCAATATTGTCGAAGATCTACTAAAATAAGATGAGACATAAAGTGATTTTCAAGAAAATTTAGCCAACAAATAGACTACCTACACTGGATTAACCTTTTTAGAATCAATTTTAGGAGATAATGCCTAATTTATATACATTCTAGTTAGCAACCAAATAAGTCTACACAAATTATTAAAAAAAAAAAAACTTCAAAGAACTTTCCGTTACAAATTAGATGAGTTCTTGTAGTTTCATAAAGTCAATGAACACACAAGTTTCAAAATGATAGGTGAGATCATTAAGAAAAGGGTCTTAATCATAAATTTAAAAATGGACTCTTAATTATCCACAAGCGCCTATCTTTATGTATATGGCACTGGCACCGTCCACAAACGTGTCTATCATCCTTTCAAGTGGACCATCCTTTCCTTTAAGGTATTACTATTACCTTTGTGTGACTGATATCTACAAACACATGTTACACACTTCACAGTCCTTATAAAGGATATTTACTCTAATATTATTTCTTATAACGTTTTTCTTCTAAAAACAATGGACAAACGAGAATATAAATCCATATGTTATTTTTATCTAATAGTATCTATTTTTAAACAATTTCTTATATTCTACTGATAAATTACCTAGAATACTAATTGTACATGTATATAGTGTCTCATAAACTCCACATATGAAATCTGTAAAAAATCAAATGAAAACTATCGTATGAAATTATCCGCAACATTGAATCTTATTTGAATTTTTGACAAACTTAATATAAATTGTAAACATGATCCATAGGAGATCTAAGGTTTATATTGTAGGTGAAAATTGTTTATTATTCTAGTAGTATATTACCACTAACGCATTTTTTTCTTCTTAACGATTTTTTTGTATATTTTCTTATCGCAATAAAAATTCTAAACCTAATTAAGCATCGGAAAAATCAAGACGCAAGAATATATAAAATACATATTCATAAATCAGACATTTGACAATCCGATATAAAATGTCTCATAAAGAGAAAACAACACAGACAATAGGAATGAAATAAGCAGAGATAATTTATATGAATGTTTTAGAAAGGGAATTAAGCATCGGTGAAGCTTGGGGGCTTGTAGGCGATGAAACTGATGCATTGGACTTGACGGTTGTTGTCGAATCCGATGATCCTAATGAAGGCATTAGGGTACTCCTTCTTGCATTCTTGCACTTCCTTCAACACTTGAGCGGAGTCGGTGCATCCGAACAATGGAAGCTTCCACATTGTCCAGTACCGTCCATCGTAGTATCCGGGAGTGTTTCCGTGTTCACGGTACACAAATCCGTGCTATAAACACATAAGAAAACCATTCGATGGACAATGATAGCCTCAACTTTGGTGTAGAAAATAAGCTTATTGACTTTGGTTTTTAGCTATGTAAGAAAATAATATATAATGATTAGAGACAAAGGAAAGGTTCAGTGTTTATTACCTCTAACTCGAATTCAACACAAGGAATCCACTTGTTGCGGAGAAGGTAGTCAACTTCCTTAGCCAATTCGACGTCAGTAAGGTCAGGGAGGTAAGATAAAGTCTCAAACTTCTTCTTTCCGATTGGTGGCCATACCTATAATTCCCGAATCCAATTCCAATTATTCTATGTTTTGTTCAATTACACTAATTGCCATGACAAAAGACATCTTTCATTAATGACTTTACTTTACCTTCATGCAGCTAACTCTTCCCCCGTTGCTTGCGATGGAAGTAATGTCGTTGTTGGCCTTGCGGGTGACCGGGAAAGCAGCGGATGACTTCAAGCCGGAGAATGGAGCGACCATGGTGGCTTGAGCCGGGGAGGTAACCACAGCGGCCGAGGAGAGCATAGAGGAAGCCATTACTACTTCTTGTTGTTTCTCTTCTTCTTTTGCTCTTTTCTCTTACTTACTTGTTTGTCTACTGGTTTTGTCATCTTTATATAGTGAGAACCGCAACAGGAAAAAAGCCCCTCATGATCAAAGGGTCCATAATTCATGATAACGTCGTTTACTGCCACAGGATTAAGGAAAGGTGTTGACACCCTTATCGGTACGGACCACTAGGATAATGCCACGTGGCAGAAAACTCCATTATCTTATCTTCTCTTGTGGGGGAAACGAAGTGAATGTGTGGTTATTGGTTTCCACTTGATCGGTTGCTTTTGGCTCCTTTCGTTTGGGAGGAAAGAAATCAGACGCATTACCTTAAATTTAATGCTTTTGGATATTTTATTTACCATGCATGATTTAATTTGGCTTCACTTGATTTGGTGAATAAGGTCGCATTAAAAAAGGAGTTCTAAGAAAATTATTTAAATTCGACATTGAGATAAATGTATTGTAATGCATAGCTTAGAAGTTCATTACTACTTCCGTTTTATTAATACTGATTTTTAAGATTTTTCGATAGGTTTATCCATGATAAATATTGTCTGGGTAACCTGTCGATTCTGGAGTCATTCTTAAAATCACTTACCACAAAAAAATTGTCAATATTCTTTTCTTGGAAAAACTATATATTATCTTCAAATGATAATATATTAGCCAACAAAAGAAAAGAGAGACGGAAATTTGAATAAATTGATATCGGTTAATTCTATACTCACTGCAGTTTTAGCCAACTATACTTTTATTTCTGATTTACGTATGGCTAACAACATCTTACTGTTTCGAGAGTAAATATTTGAGAACCAACAAGGCAACAACAATTAGATGCAAGATATGTTTGTGGTAGAAAGCGATCGAGCAAACAACCGAAACCATCATGCATCTACCTGTATCATGCTCATGCGGTAAGCTTCCATCATGGAAGAATTTCCAAGAAAACCTCCCAAGGTCGGAGGTCCATGGTTTCTTCTATATGAGTTAATGCTGCCTCTCGATCAACAAGTAAGACCAGCTCACGATTATCTTGTGACTCTGGCAGTGCCAGCTCTAAGGGTGTGCTAGAGGAGCAAAAGCACAGGGTCCTCAAAAAAAAATTTCAATTTCCTCTAAGATTGAGGGTCCAAAATTTTCACTATATTATTTAAAAACCAATTTTTATACATCAGCACAAGGTCTCGAATAATTTTGAGCCGGCCCTGGACTCTGGTCACATACATACTCACATCACAATCACGATGTGAAACCCACCCCACCGTTCCTCTTTGAGTACCACGCCGTTGCACTTACGGCCCACTTAATCACAAATATGGCACCTCAAGTTGATAACCACCGTTTCAACTTAAGCATGCATTTTTCAAAAAAAAAAAACTTAGCATGTAAAAATGGCGGATCATGAGGAATTTTCATAATTCATTTCAATCAACGGTGTAGAACCAAGGCAAGAACTCACCTTAAAGTCATGTAAAGCTATGGTCGTGGATCAAGACTGCCACCTTAAAGCTCACAAATGCCCCCATTTCAACCATATGAGAAGAAACATGTATACAAAGTACACAATCACCATAATTGGTCACGAAAAAACTCTCATATAGGGCAAAGAATCACAAGCTCCACTCCACTCCGCACCTCAACCAAATAAACATTTTTCGAAAGTGAGATAGTCCTAACCCATCCATCTAAGTTACCAGCTTCTGTCCCTTGTCTTTTTAAGTCATTTTTTTTCGTCGTCTTTCTTTTTCTTGAATTTTATTTGAAACGAAAATGTGGGAAGTAAATCAGGGAGATGCAAAAAAATGTTCGGTAATTTCAATAATTATTTTTATTTGTATTATATTTGAATCATGTATATATTTTCTATATATCGTTTGCATAGAAGAATCTAAAAACATTTGAATATTTTTGTCAAAAAAAAAAAAACTAAAACCAAACATGTAGATGCTACGTTTTCTTTATCATTTGGTTTCTAGTTTCATTTAGAACTTTTTGGGAACATTAACTGCTTTTCCTTATAAATAACTGTTAAGTTTCAGCTTTTAACGTGAACACAATTTCCAAAATTTAGTAACTTCATGCTAGACAAATTTCAGTCTTTGTCGATCCTTGCTTTATATAATGCCATTTCTTGGACTTGAATTAAACTGAATATTCCACTTAGGCGTTTGGAATACATGTTTATAATTTTAAAAGCATACATTTGGATTTTGTTTATAGTGTATACGTCTTTTACTACCTTTTGCTATCTCCAATGGCTATTTCATCTTAAAAGGTTACACCCCCTTAAATAATCTTTTGTTCTAAATCATCGAGGTTTGATAAATTGAGGCATCTTTGTTATGCTTTCATGTGCAAAATTTCTCGAAACAATGTAGCCAATTTCTCAAAAGCAAGAATAATGAGGAGAATTTAAATGAACCGGAATGTTGTCAAAAGGAGCTAAACGAAAAATAGAGCTCAAAGAGCTAGAAGAAAAAAAATGAAATCAAATGAGTAAATATAATTATAAGGAAATTGATAGAAAAAACCTTCAAATTTTTCACTTT